CAAAAAATAGATATGTATATTAAATATATATGCATTTTTACGTGCAATTTGTTCCCATTTCAGATGGAAAGAATTAACAAACTTGAAGTCCGCTATTGAATTTTGTGAAAAAGTGGGCTATCCGTGCCTTGTGCGACCTTCTTACGTATTAAGCGGAGCCGCGATGAATGTCGCGCACTCAAACCAAGATCTTGAGTCTTATTTGAAAAGCGCGAGTGAAGTCAGCAAGGAGCATCCCGTGGTAATATCGAAGTTCATCCTCGAGGCGAAAGAGATCGACGTCGACGCTGTGGCGTATGAAGGCATGATTTTGTGCATGGCAGTATCCGAACATGTAGAAAATGCCGGTGTCCATTCGGGTGATGCCACTTTAGTGACACCACCACAAGACATCAATCCACAAACTCTGATGAAGATAAAAAGTATCTCCAAAGCAGTAGCGGCATCCTTGGGAGTAACTGGTCCTTTCAATATGCAGCTAATTGCAAAGGTGAATAATTGCTTTCATAAATTTAAAAATGGGTCTAATAAAATTTAAAAAGATAACAAGTATATAATTCTAATATACATTTTTATCTTTAAATAATTACGTATTAATTTCTATTGTATAGATAACATAAATATTAATTATATAATTATTAAATAGAATTTATTATATGTTATTTTTAAATTTTCAATAACATCTTTTTGCAGGATAACGAACTAAAAGTGATCGAGTGTAACGTAAGAGTATCTAGATCTTTTCCCTTCGTCTCGAAGACCTTAGATCACGACTTCGTTGCAACAGCAACCCGTTTAATTGTCGGCGAAACAGTTGATCCTGTGGATGTTTTAGCTGGCTGTGGAAAAGTTGGAGTGAAAGTGCCACAATTTTCTTTCTCTCGTCTTGCCGGTAAATACGTATAGCCATTTACAATTTGCAGAATTTTAATACTATTATATTATTAATTTGTGAAATAATATTATTGTATTATTAACTTGAAGGAGCTGATGTTATGTTGGGTGTTGAGATGGTATCCACTGGAGAAGTAGCTTGTTTCGGTGAAAACCGCAACGAAGCTTACCTGAAAAGCATGTTGAGTACCGGCTTTCACATCCCGCAAAAGGGTATTCTGCTGTCTATAGGAAGCTTCAAGGTAATTATATGAAACTTTTTTTCTCTGCACAAGTAAAAATATATAAATTAAATAATAAACTTCAGTAATTATATACTATTTTAATGCTCTGCGAAAAATAAAATGTATTTAGTTTGAAACATATTCGCGGTAACTGTAGTAATGCAATATATTGATCTCTTGCGTTACTTATAAGACAATATTGTCGATGAAATAGTGATTTGTCATATTTAAAAATCTTGAAAAAATTGGATATGTATTTTAATAAGAGATAAAAATTAAGTATAAAAATAATGGATTTTATTTCAGCATAAAATGGAACTGTTCGAATCTATTAGAAATCTGAAGACCATGGGATATAAGTTATACGCCAGCATGGGTACCGCCGATTTTTATACCGAGCACGGAATTAAGGTAAGTGAGAGAAATTTTCATTCATTGTTACATCGTTTTAAGTTATACGAGGTACGCGATCACATAAAAAGAATAACTATTTATACATTGTATTTACAAAAATGATTGAAGATTGAAGAAATATTTATGAGAGCTGTTCGTGAACTGCAAAAATTTGTGTCGAATAAATTTTTACAATTTAAATTATAAAATGATAAAACTTATATTACATATAAATCTAGTCTTCTTTGCGATAACGTGTACATGATTTAGAGTATAAATATTTCATTAACGAGATATCGAGTTTAATCGTGACAAGCATTAGAGACAAGAGTTTAATAAAGAGCAGTAGATGTCAAAGATAATGAAATTAATGATAATGAAATAATAAAAGATAATGAGAATAATGATTAGAGATTTGTGCATGAATTCATTGACAAGAATATAAAATATTCAAAGAGAGAAATACAAGATGTGCGTATTACTAAAAATATATAAAAATGTGATATTCTTAAATTACAATCTACGCAATCGTAGATCTACATGTAGATTATAATTCGTAATCTAACAATGCGCGATATAAGTACACTTAGAATATATTGTTAACGCTATTTTACAGAAACGAGTTTACTAGACAAATTTGACTGCAGTGATTTAGCTGTTTTTATAAAATTACTTTAATGACTATTAATCACTTTTGCTCTTGCATAACGCGACGATTGGAATATCGACAATTCGCAAGGCGATAAACTCGCTCAGTCTTTCTCAAATATTTACTAAATCGATCGCACCGATCGATCTCAAAATATGACAATAAATATCGCCTCAAATTCGCTCTTAACATAATCGTTACTTTCGTAGATCGAACACAAGGATTAATTTCCAACAGATCATCTACATCCTAATTTTTAACATATATCACATATATGTCGTTTCATTTAAATTGTCATTTAGGAAGACTACTGTCTGTACTCTACTCAAAGCCGCTTTCTCACTTTGATCTTTTGGCCTAGAATTCTCCGAAGAATAAGGATCTTCGTCGTCTTTTGTTTCAGTTGTCGCTTGTGCATTTTTCTCTTCTTTAAATCGTATTTCGTGAGTGGCCGCTTTTGTGACTTTATTACTCGCAAGATTTTCGGATTGTAGCTGTTCCTCCGACATCTGTTGTTCGTTTGTTGTCAAAGTTTCATTGACGTGCCGTGTGAAACGATCCCTCAGAGGGCCGACGAATATAGGCTCCAAATTCCTCTTGGGTGTTTCCGGCGGTTCGTTCTCCATTCTTCGCATATCCGGTAATCTCGTCGAGATCGTCGCTTTCATCCTCAGAGCGTTTATCTTGTTGTGATAAGCCTTGGCGTCCTCCTTGTGCCTGGAATAATCCGACAGGATAGTCGAGAGCCGATCCGCCTGGTCAAGATACACCTTCTTCTGCTCGTAAGCTCGATACCTGTGGCAGCACTCGGCCATTTTGATAAAATGGTTGACAAAGAAGTCCAATAGCGCGGCCAGCCTTGGACCCTTCAGCTCCGCGCAACGTTCCTGGAAGAGAGAACGATTTAAGCTGTCACTCTTGGATTCGCTAATCGCGAGATGAGCGGAGATAAGATTAGATTCGCAGGAAGTTGTGTTGAGCTTCGCGCTTTTCGCTCAGTTATATGATAGATGACGTGTCGTGTTGGGATCGCTGTTAAGAACACTGAATCGATAATGATCTTATCGTTTGAGAGACTTACCGAGATCTCCACGATAGAATCCGTAGCCTTGCGCGGAGTGATTAGCGTTTTGTTCACGCCGTACGTGTACCGTGAATTCTTCTTGCGATTCCTGTCGCAGATTCCGCCGTTGGCGCTGTCGTAAATCTCGTCTCTGTAGGGTTGCTCGGTCGTTCGCAGCATGTACGGATCTAAAGCCGGATTCACCAGGGGCAAGCACGGTCTCACCGTCAGTATCTTGAACAGCTCCGAGAAGTTCAGCTTCGGGAAGAACTGCTCACTGTACTGAATGTTCTCCAGCGCGTAGAACACGTACATGACTGGATTTTCGATTATCCTCTTCAGCTGCTTCTGGCTGTACAGCAGGTAGTCGCGCGGCACCTTTTGAAACATGTTCTTGCTGCGGACGAAGTAGTCCGGCAGAATCGGCTCGTTCTGGCTGATGCAGTGGTACAGAGTGTTCAATAAATGAATCAACCGCTGGCCGGTGCGATTGTCGGGCCACTTCCAGTTTGTATCGTACTTCTCGATTAGCCAGAACATCTTGTGCCGGATGTGAGCGGTCGTCAGGCCGTACATAGTGTCCAGAACCGGCCTGAGAAACATCTTGTGAAGCATCAGCGCGATGAGGTACACCTGCATCTGCGAGCGCGTCATGCAGGTCTCCAGATATCGCTCTGCCGCCGGGAACGCCAGCTGCCACTCGATTTTCTGATCGATGCTCTTCCTGACGCCTGGCTGCCTCGAACCTCGCGGCGGGGCGTTCATCTTTTTTGACAGGGAATTTTCGGGGACCACGAAGCAGCCTCCTGCTCTCACTCTGCCGATGTCGTCGTCGTGAGGCCAGGTGCTTCTCGCTCGGTCCAGCCACTCTTCGGCGTACTTCGGCCACTGCAGCCATATCGTCGGCGTGACCTCGTACGAGTCGATCCTGTACTGGCTCGGAATATGCGTGTTGATCACCTTGTCGCAATGGATGATCGAGTCCTGCACGTGATTCAGATCTTCGGGCTTGAAGCCCAGCGGCTCCGCCAGCTGGTCCACGAAGAGATCGACAAAGTAGTTCATGAATGTCTCGCTGCTGGTGTAGAAGACTTCGCAGTCGTACTGCCGAGCGGCCATCATGAGACGGTGCTGCTTGCTGTTCTGCGCCTGCCATCTCTCCTCCCGCATTGAATAAATCTTGCCCTCGTTGTTGATCCTCACCTTCTTGAAGCACTCCGACGGAATCATCGCGTTCGAGTAAATTTTCGTCGGCGCGTGCACGCTCGTTTTCTCGCGATTGCGAGTGGCGGTCACCGTCGGATAACCGCAGTCGCTGTCGTAGCCGGAACTCGTGATGCTCGGCGGCCCGCGACCTTTCTGCCTCGCCGATTTCACCGAGCCGGGTTGGACCCCCAAAGACGTGTGGTCATTGTTTCGATCAGACTCGATCTTTACGCTATAATTAGATCGGGCTTTCCCGATATAAATGTTCTCATGCGAGAGGGACACTTGATCGTCGTGCAGATTGGGCAAAGATCTAATACTGAGAATCGCGGAACTCTGGCGACTGTTTCTTTTGATCTGGTGAGATGGCGTCGTGTTGGGATTGCGATTCAAATCGTAGATGCTCTCGCCGTCCTCGTATATTTCCTCGTCGTCCGCTATTGATGAAGATCCGATATCTTTCTTGTCGAGGTTCTTCCTGTACGGCGTTTCGTCAAGACGCCGCAATCGCACGTATCCTGTCGACAGAATACTTGTCATTCTTTTCGAGTCAAATGTTTTGAAATTTGTTAACAAATTTCTTTCCTCAATAAGCATATTTTATTTGATGAATCTGATTAAGATAAAATTTATTAGGATTTTTGTTCGAGCAAAGTTGAAGGTCTTATCTTATCTATTTTTGCACGCGCGCATTTTTGAGATTTATTTGATAAAATTTTCGAATTTTTTAATATTTACAACTCAAAAGATGTGCCATCACATTCTTGTTAAAGATTCCATTTGAAATAAAAAATTCATTGAAAAAAAGCAAATGTTGGGTAATTTATACAAAATTTATAAATATAAAATTTGTACGAATTTATGAATTTTGGAATAAATTCACTCACCCGGATTGTCACTCTCTTGCACCATCATATTGTACGTGACCTCATTATTCAGGCTACTATACTCCGACAGATAATCCTGCTCGGTGATTTCGATATTGTCATGCGCGATATAAATGCGAACCGGTTGTAGGGGTTCGATAATAAGATCACCAGTCTGTCTCTTCGAAGTGAAATCGATGTTGCGTGCAATACAATTTTGAAGAACATGTGGTAACAAAATGCTTTTTTGAGGAGGCATTACCTTATTTAGTTCAGCTTCATCGCTCAGCTTCGATCCTCTTTTAAGAGTTTCTTTAATCTGACTTATGTCTCTGGAAAAGAATTCGCCACTTAATTTCGTATAATTTTTCGTTATTACTACAACTAATCATTTTATATTTAATTGTATAATTATGAACTGAAATATGTTTTTATTGGAATTTATGAATTATTTATTGTTACACAATTACTACTTGTTAAAACATTAACATAGGAAATGAAAATTAATATTTAAAGATTTTTTTTACTAATATTCAATATTGTGAAATAAAAAATAATAAATAGGTGATTTTAATTAATTTTTCTAATGTTGACTTGAAAATTATATAATATTTATATTAAATATTAATTATAAAATAATACAATTAGTACTTAACGTAAACGGAAGCAATTTATTCTTTATAAGCCCATTTTCTGTTATTGTTGAACGTAATCTTGACAGGCAATTAATTATGTGCAAAATAAAGAAGTAAGAATAACGCAAAGAATTCAACATTAAGTATACTTAATCTGGCCATTCTTGATATCAAGGTAAAGAATACTTTTTTATATGTAATGCAGATTTGTAGATTAGATTATAATAAAACAAAATATCGATATTTCTTAAATCAGTACATAATCACCGAAGTAATTCACGCGGGTTCTCAACAAATTTTTGAACATGATATAAATGATACAGTCATCTTTTATAAATAAATCAGCATTAAATTCACTTTTTTCCTCCTTTTTAAATTTAATTAACGGGTATAACAAATTTTTGATATATTTAACGGCATCAAACTTCACTATTTTTAAGAATAAGACTTAGCGAGAATAGCGTTCACTTATTATATTAACACAGCTGTGAGTTTTACATCCCACTTCAAAATTCCTTTATACTTCCAATCGTCACTATGCGGATTATCACTATTCCGTACAACTGCGACGAACCAGCCATAGAAAAATATATTGATCGAAACGAGTGCTTACTCTTCGTAATTCTCGAAGAACTGGATACACATCATGAGATTGTTTAGGATGAAACTTTCGGGTTCCTGTTCGATAGCTTTCTTCAGCAACATCAGCTCGATATCCTCGTACTCGTCCACTGGCTTGGGTATTTTCTCTTTGGTTTTGGGTTGTGATTTTTTAAAGATTTTTGATAATTCATTTCCCATTTTTCTTTTCTACTCAATGACATAACACAAAGTGCACACGAGAAACGGGCCACGTGGAGTGTCTCCACGTGAGGACCGAGTCTTCGGTCGCGACGCACTATATAGATCACTTCGGATTCACTAATAGGTCACCAGCACTATTTCATTCTCGTTTTCAAGGTCGGCGAGAGCGGGAACGCATTGTACGTGCGCGCGTACCAGACTACGGCGATGACCGGTCAGACAGTAGTCCACTCGCGGGGTGTCGGTGTGGATAAATAGCTATCTGGCTATCGAGGAGGGCGATTTTAATCGACCGCTTACTATCGATAAACATTCGATGTAAAATCCTTGTGAAAGATTGCGCTGGTGTCGGTAGATAAAGCTCCGAATCGAGTGATATTCATAATTTCGTATGACGATGGAATGGACTGTGTTTAATTACTGGGACAATGTATTAGTCATTGTTATTAGTCACCAATAAACTTTTATTTATTGGATTTTATCGGTCATCATTTTTTAGTTGCATATTCTTCAAACATTTTTTCAAATATCTTTAATTGTCGCGTTTATATCTTTAATTAATAATAAATATTAATGAGAAGAAAATTCATAAAAAATTGATTGCCCCAATTTTGTACGAGAAACAGATTGCGGTAATTTTCTACAGAAAGGGAAAAGTTATTGATTAATTACAGCAATCGTAAATTATTCATATATCACATCTCTTCTCCCCTATCCGTTTTCTTTATACTCCATTATCCATTACTTATACCAATATACGCGCATGCAACAGATAGCAGAAAGCATTGCCGCAACAGTCAGCTGCAGGATAAGACAGGCTTTTATTAATTCATATATAATAATAAAATTATTGAACGTTGTCGTACGAAGATCCGTGTTGTCTCTTGAAAGGCAATCTAATTTCGTGGTATCGTTTGGTAACATGGAGCTAGAGGAATGCGCACGGGTAACGTTTAATTCGTCTTCTGACACGACAATATCACGAATGAAAACGTGAGTTTTATCTAATCTATGCGTTAAATATCTATTGGGAAAGCTCGGTAAATTACAGATATATTCTTTCTCGGTATACTTTTAATTATTCTCAAAAGTAGCTTTGCTCTTTTAAGAAATGAAAAAAAATATATATTATAGCGATTTAAGATCTGATTCAAAATATTCTGATAATATAAATAATCGTCAGCAATCTTTTTATCATGTATATATGTATGTATATATGTATATACATTGTATTTTAATGATTGCGCGCACAGTGGTGCGAAAACGAGAACAATGCTTTCATTTTTTTCTAAATTTTTTTCTATGAGATATCTAGATATCATTGCTGTATAATTGCAAATAGTCAAATGATAAAAAATTGGATAATAGTTATTTTTGAACTAAAAATATTATCAAAGCCGATACAAACAGGAAATGCTATATATAAGATAGTTAACTAATATTTTTTTAAACAATACTGATCAAAACTTTATCTAAATATAAAACAAGAAATTTATGTAAAATTGGAGAGAAGTTTTGGAATTTTGTTAATATTTTCTTATTTTATAATTTTTATTTTATCTATGAATAGCAAAATAGGTTTTTGATCTGCTTAGACATCGCTAGAGCACGTAGACATTTTAACGTTATGTTAAATATACAATTAATAATCTAATAATCAGTAGTGATTATCACATGATTGGATTATTATATATACATATATGTATTTCTTAAACATTTTAAAAATTATTTGATGTACATTTGATATGATATCCTTGATATATCTTTGATGAATACAAAATAATGCAATAAATGCTTTAGATTGCAAAGAGATTGCAAAATTAAGTACATTAAGATTTAATATTATAATGATCTATTGTAAGATGTACTTGCAAATATGTTTATAATATAATATATAATAATATAATATATTTGTGATCATAGTATAATTATATGTGTTAGATAACATTTATTAAAAATATGACAATAAAAAAAAATTTTTTAAATATAAATTTTGATAAATATCAATAAAATTCATAAAAAGTTAAATTTTTTCAAATATTTTAATTTTAATTTTATTAGTTAAATATATAAATATTAATATGTATTAACTATTATTTGTATTTACAATTCGAAACTTGATTCAGATTAATGTGAGTTTTTTTCAAAAATCGTCTAACATTTTTATCACTATTTTTTAATATTTTATTCTCTTAACTATATCGTCATATTTTATAACTTTGCGTAACGCAGGTGGAACCGGTCGAATGGACGTTCGAGAACATCGCTGTGAACGAGGATTCTAGCCCGAGTCAACTTCGACATCTCGCCGATTTCTTATCGAAGAAACAATTTGATCTTGTAATAAATCTGCCAATGAGGAATGGCGGTGCACGTCGTGTCTCCAATTTTATGACACATGGTTATCGGACTAGAAGACTAGCTGTCGATTATTCCGTGCCTCTGATCACGGATGTTAAATGTGCGAAGCTTTTGGTCGAAGTGAGTATACAAATTAGTATTTCGATTTTATGAAAATGTTGGATAAAATTGAGATCTAGATATCAAGTATATTTTAAGAAATAATTTGATTAAATGTTATGATTGAAACAAGTGTGACGTTCTCTCTCACACACACCCACACGCACATTTTATATTACTATGTCACTACATTTTATATCATTTGCGTCAGTGATCAGTCGTTTCTGATAAGCAAAATATTACTCATTCTTACACTTAAAAATTTTCGATCACATTGTTGGCGATAAGCTCGTACTAGGTACAAAGTTCACCTCAGATTATTTAGAGACTTCAATATTTTATAATCAAATTGAGAACATCTTAAATATCATATAACAAAATACGAAAGTAGCATTTATGTAATAGAAGAAAATGTTTTATGATTAGAAATTAAAAATTATTTCAAGGTTTATTCAACATTTATGTATACTAATATTTCAAAAAGCCAACGGTGATCTTTACACAAATCACTAATGTCTAATTAATCATATTTTATAAAAGTAATAAAATTAATCAGTTATCTCATCAAAATAAATTATCAATAGTTTTTGCAATCTCAACTAGGTTTTGCCAAATTTTTCATTTAAGCAGTTAAAGATATATATAACTAGGTACAACAATTTTTGATACCGCGCATCGGAATACAGATTAATTATATAGCCAACCACTTCATTGATAAGATATTGTAAAATACTTTAATAGAGAAATTCATTACCTTCATGGCGATTTCTTTAAAACTATACAAGAAATAACGATATAGCGTATAACATGAATATCTCAACATATTCTTCGTGAATGATTTATGAGGAGTGACAGTCTCGTGTTAATTATTTCAATGCTTTATATCTATTATGCGACTTTACACATATAAATATATATGGACGATAAGTGCTACACAGTAACTAGCCACATGCAATTCTACGTGCTCTCTTGTCTGTTGCGCAGGCCTTGAGAAAGATGAGAGGAAAAGCACCGCGTATGAAAACATATACCGATTGCGTGTCGTCGCGCAGGATGATCAGACTACCCGGCCTTATCGATGTCCACGTGCATACGCGTGATCCTGGAGCGGTCCATAAGGAAGACTTCGCCTCCTGCACCGCGGCCGCGCTTGCCGGAGGCATCACGATCATCTTCGCAATGCCAAACACCCATCCACCCGTGGTGGACCATTCGAGTTTTGTTGTCGCGAAAGAGGTGAGAATTTTTACCTTCCTCAAACAACTTTTATCAATGCGTGAAAGAAAATGCTTTCACAACTGTTTTATATGAATAAAAAAATTATTAAATGTACTTAACGTATCTATTTATGTTTGATAAAGATATGTGCAACGTGTAATAATCAAGAATCAATCTTCGTAATCAGAATTAAATAGATAATTCTTTAAGCACAGATTTTTATTTTTTTACAATTTATAAATATTCAAGTGCAAATTCTTAAGCTTGATTTTGAAGAAGTTTTTCATGTTCTATACACATGTACAGAAATTTTTTTTATAATAGTGACTAGTGCGATCTTGTTTTGACTTAATCATGCCAACTGGATCCTCTGATTAATCTTGAACACTCGATGCCCTTATCTTTTAAACCAACTGCTGTTTTCGTATCGAAATATTTGATATTGACTTCTTGCAATTCGTGTATATTTATATATTCAGTATAATAATTATTAAACTAAATGATTGTAGTCCTATTTCTACGATTACTTGTTTTTATTGACTCTTCTTTATTTCGATACTTTTAGTCTGCTTGCATCATAAAAAACACTCATAGCGAAATTGAGAGCTTTCGGAATATTCTTATTTCTGTTATTTATCTTATTGTGATATAATCTAATTAGGCCAAATCGTCGCAAGTATTTTAAGTACAAGCGTCAGGAGGCTCGTTGCTAAGGCACGTACGGCAAAGAAAGAGCGATAAAGAGCTGACGCAGAAACTGGTTCAAAAGTGCAATTTCGAGCTTCTTGTATCTAAATGATAATCAGAAATCAAGATATTACGTAATTACAAAGACTGATAGCTGCAACTAGTGAGACCTAGATTTTTAACATTTTGATATTACCTATACGATAATAATAGCTTAAGAGACGACGTTTTTTTATCTATGTAAGCTCTCTTATATTTAAAAAAAATAGTCGCACATACTCTTATTTATCAGCACGCGTTGTAGATATCTTGTACAGATATTGTACAGCTAACACAATTAGGCGTACTTTATTTGTATTTCTAATTTGAAGAAGAAAAATTTTAAATTGCAATTAAGATAGATTTTAATAATATAAGGTAATTAAATGATTTAATTATTTGAACAGCGAGCTGCAGCTGGTTCGCGATGCGATTACGCAATTTTCGCCGGCGCCTCATCGGACAATTACGATGGAATACGAGAAATAGCACCTCACGCGGCTGCTCTGAAAATGTATCTAAACGAGACATTTACAACACTTCGTCTCACTGATCTTACTGTTTGGATTAAGGTAACACATTACGTATCATTGTATATAATTTTTTACATATCTTACTATTTTTTAATATACTTTTCAGCAAATTTAATCTATTTATAAATTAAATGTGCATATATATATATTTTTTTTTTACATAAGACTGTCGCAAAGCTTAATTTGCACATTTACACGATTGCTCGTAGCACTTCGAAAGCTGGCCTAAAAAATATCCATTGTGCGTGCACGCGGAAGGACAAACTACAGCCGCGGTTCTTCTACTTGCGAGTTTACATAGCAGACCTATCCATGTTTGTCACGTAGCGCGTAAGGAAGAGATACAAATAATACGCGCTGCAAAGGAACATGTACGTATTAAAATATATTGACAATAATACAAAAGTGTGATTATGATATCTAAATATTTATACAAAAAATATTTACATATAAACGACAGTAATTAGAAATTTTTAAAAAGTAATTATTAAAAGATAATTTAGTTTATTTTCAGAATTTATAGCGATAAATATTTTAAACATAAAAATTCTTATTAGAATTTGAATCAAAACCTTTAAATTAATCGCATTTTTTTTGCAGGGATTGGCGGTTACGTGCGAAGTATGTCCGCATCATTTATTCCTTTGCCAGGATGACTTGGACCGAATCGGCAAAGGAAGAGGTAAGGTAAGGCCTATTCTGGGGACAAAAGAAGACCAGCAAGCTCTCTGGGACAATTTAGACGTGATTGATTGTTTCGCAACTGATCATGGTACGTATCTCATTATTTCAATAATTGATTATAGCTGTTATTAATTGACAAATTGTGCTTTTTATAAATTTGCGTTACACAGTAAAATAAATGTGTCAATTTCTTCAAAGAATTTCCTTGAAACGATAACAGCCAACATTCTATTACTCGACGATAAAAAGATGAATGTCTTGTGTTTGTATAACATTTACTTTGTTTTGCTTTTAAGCCATACAAGAATATTCTTTTTGTCTTGCGGCATTGATATTGTATCGCTCAATTACAATTATTTAAAAATAACAATTAGTATTCTGATAAAAATTAATGTTTTGATAATTTACATTATTGCCTATTCGTTCAGTCGCGCATGAAAGAGATAAGTTTTGGTGAAAATCACGTAATCGTAATTATTTACGTGTTTGCTTCCTTTTAATGACACATTAATTTATATTAAAGCTCCACACACTGTGCAAGAAAAGTCCTCCGAGAAACCACCGCCGGGATATCCTGGGCTGGAGACTATGCTCCCGCTGTTGCTTAATGCCGTGCACGAAGGAAGGTTGTCTATGGAGGTAATTTTATCTTCCATTCACGTGTATAAACTTTCAACGACGTTTGGCTGATATAATGAGAGAGGAATTTTGATAAGCTCTCTTGCTCTTGATAACAGTCACGAAGGTTGTCACACGTCACACTCTGATTCACGGAAATAAATTTTGTGGCGTGACGTAATAAATTGCACGTTTAAGAGAAATTTGTTGCAAAGCAATTTCAATTTTATGTTATAATACTTAATTTCAAGCCATTTAAAATTTTTGAAAACTAATAACATTTTGTCAAAATTATTTGCTATCAGTTAATTTGCGATAAGAAGAAATTTGTGCAATAAATTTGAAGACTTGTAATAATTTATTAAGATTACACTTAATTTATTGCACTGAAATTGTGAAAGATATTTTCTCGAGCATTGTTTAAGCACAACCTTGTGTTCACGCTTATCACTTCCTCCAATTATGGATGAGCTATTGTCTGATAAGTTTCATAAATCTTTAATAAGATAAGAACCCCACGAAAATCTATTTGTATTAATAGTAAAAATAGGAAGACTGCGCTCTTTTGTTTATCACATTTTAAATAATTTTAAGTATTTTTTTTAATCCATTAGCTTGCGATTTATAAGATATAATGCAAACCAAAAATAAGTATTAAAATATTACAAATTGCATTGAAACACTTTCGTAACTATTCCGCTTGTTTCTTAATTGCAGGATATCATCGACAAATTGTACAAAAATCCTAAAAGAATCTTCAATGTCCCTGATCAACGTAACACATACGTCGAGATCGATCTGGACGACGAATGGATCATTCCTGAAGCAATGCCGTTTAGTAAATCGCAATGGACACCTTTCGCTGGCATGAAAGTTTGCGGCTCTGTTCATAGAGTGGTTTTGAGAGGCGAGATCGCCTACGTGGAGGGACAAGTGCTGCTAAATCCTGGATTCGGTCAGGACATCAGAGAAGCACAATATAAGACGAAGGTTTCATCGACGCTCCACGCGCCGATAGTATCCGGTCAATATACAGATGCTGTCAATTTACAGATGCTGTCTAAACCATTGTCAGTGTTAGACGGTCTTTTGTCACCAAATTATGTAGCCGAAAAATCTAACACACACGTTGACCGCGTCGCCGATTCTCACGAAGAGGAGCAAACAGGTACGAGATGCAAATACGAGAACATGTGTTGTTAAAATAATATGCAAAATCTTTCAAAATAATGATTGATACAAATTTATTTTGTTACTGTTTATTAGAATTGTTTGCGTATCTCCTGCAACCAGGATCGCACAAATCGAGCGTACATTTTGCGCTGGATATTGACACGAAAGAACATTCCAAGGCACTGCCCTCGCAAAGAACTGTCTCACCGTTGCCAATCAGCAATATCACTAGATACAAAAGTGACAGCAACCCAAATCTTCTTATGACTGCGGTCACACCGGTGCCGGCTGTCCATGCAAGTAACAGTCTAGTGGGACGTCATATACTCAGCGTCGATGATTTTAATAAAGATATCCTGAAGGATGTTTTCCAGCTTGCGGAATATCTTCGAATTTGTATAAGAAAAGAACGACCTTTGGACCACATCTTAAAGGTACTTGATTAAAGACAAAATCGAATGCATTATACAAAATTTTAAATTTATATATGCAAAGATTTATTATCAAGTTCATATATTGCAAGCTTTTTTATATATAAAAATCTAAAAACATTTTAATTGTTATGATATTTGAGAATACTCGATAATCGGATTTTAAATAAAATTTAAAAATTCTGTTTTTTTGCACTTAAAAAATTAATGTGTTTAGGGAAAGATTATGGCTTCCATTTTCTACGAAGTCAGCACGAGAACGTCATGCAGTTTTGCTGCCGCGATGGAGCGTCTTGGTGGACGCGTAATATATATGGATGGTACCACATCATCAGTGAAAAAGGGTGAAACTCTCGAAGGTTTGTACAGATTTGATACCGAAACTTAATCCACATGAATAGTGTGATTATACTTGAATCGTTGTCAATGTGCAAAACCAATATATAAAAGAACTGTACAATAAATTATCGAGCTATTGTTTTTTTACAGATTCTGTAACAGTTATGACAGGATACGCAGACGTGGTTGTACTCAGACATCCAGAGCCAGGCGCAGTAACTGTAAGTTTCCAATCATAGAAAACCCGCTTAACTTATACTACAATCATAATAATTATTATTTAAAAAATAATTTAAAATTTTGATTATTTAATAGAATCAAATATACTGTAATTATTGATTTTTTTACCTTTTGAATTTTTTAAGTTGTATTTTTATAGTTTAAGAGATTTTATTACACATGCATTTTCGAATCTCATATATTAATAATAATTTGCAGAGAGCATCGCACCATTGCAGAAAACCATTGTTGAATGCTGGTGACGGAGTTGGCGAACATCCGACTCAAGCGCTGCTGGATATCTTCACGATCAGAGATGAATTCGGAACTGTGAATGGTCTTACGATTACGATGGTAGGAGATTTAAAGCATGGTAGAACCGTCCATTCTCTCGCAAGGTTAGTACAAAAAGATTGTCAAGAAAAGAATTACGAAAAATAAAATATTCTGCGTAAGTTTATATGATCTATTACGTATTGTAGACTACTTTTGTGGCTAATTATTAATATTACAGTTTACAAGTGATGGTTTTAATATTATAAATATGAACCATATTTTATGAACAGAACATCCTGGAAAATTGAGTCGAACCAATTATGATAACAATTTTCGGAATTAACATATTTCTCTAGAACATTAAACATATTTTTTGTGTGCTCTATTTATTTGCGCAGGTTGCTGACCTTATATAATGTGGAACTGCGCTATGTGAGCCCACCTGGCCTCGGTATGCCAGATCATATTGTCAACTACGTGAACGAACGTCGAATCTCGCAAGAGAAGTTCTCGTCCTTGGAGGAGGCATTATCCGACACCGATGTCCTTTATATGACGCGAATACAACGCGAACGTTTCAACACTCAAGAAGAGTATCATCAGGTCGGTTTTCAAACTCATTACTTAATTTAATATATTTGTCTTTTTACATTAGAAAAAGCGCTTAACAAAACTTATGACTTTTATTTCGCCATATCTCGCATTTTATTTGCTTATCAAATTAAATTTGTATATCACATTTTTATCATTAAACTATTATTGTGTAACAGATGTGCGGACACTTCATAGTCACTCCGCAGCTGATGTCGCGCGCGAAGAGGAGAATGGCAGTGATGCACCCTTTGCCACGAGTTTTTGAGATTAGCGCCGAATTTGACAGCGATCCCCGGGCGGCTTATTTCCGACAGGCCGAAAACGGAGTCTACGTGCGTATGGCATTGTTAGCCATGGTTCTGGGACGCGTATGATCCGATCGGCTCAATCGTTTATAATTCGCAGGATTTGCTGAAGAAGAGATCGATAACGTATGCTCAAAAAAAAAAAAACCACTTCTACTGATCAATTTCAACTGACTGTGATGCTCGCGAAAACCAACGGATGTACTTCTGACATTTTCCACTGTCATAAACATCCTTCTATCATTCCACTGTCATAAATATCTTTCCGACATTCCATTATCAATTAAACTAAAAAGTTTAAAACTAATTTCTATGAGGACCAATTTTATTAAGATACTTCATAAAGACTATTTTTATCAAGATGCTATGAAGATTTTAGCATAATTTTGTTAATTACGGATTAAAATTTTATATAGATTTTTTTTGTTTCATTCCCAATAAATTTTAATTTAAAATAACTATCATTTCTTCACTTTTATTTTTTTAAATTTAAATATTTAAATTTTTGTTAATTTTGAAAGGAAGATTTTATGCTGCAACAAAATTCTTACACACTTTTTTTGTTACTTATAATTCTCTAATAATTTATTGGCATAATGAATAAGATGTTACGTCCGAATTTATGCGTTCTGAAATGTGGAAATGAGATAAACTACACTATTCAAACTCGATGAGAGATGAATAATTAAATTGTTACAAAGCATTTAATGACAGTGATCATAATGACAGATTCAAAAGTTTAAATTGCATATAAAAATTTGTCTTAAAAGTTTTTATAATTTTTATACAGATTGAAGAATGTACAAATATACATCATGCGAATATTTTTTCAATATCAACGTTATACTGAGGTCAATCTTGTTGTGACAAAAAACAGTGATGTAATTATAAAAAGAGATTGCGCACTGCGCGTGAACTTGGCGTGAGACACTACCGTGTCTCTTGATAAATTTATAATTTTACAAATATTTAATTGTGCAATTACGATCAAAAATTTATAATTATGCAATTGTGAAACCCGAGAAAGTAATATATAACAAAATATCATAACAAAAATTACATAAATTACATATATTACGTAACATTGTTTATAAAAATTGATAAAACTTTGTAATGCATATTATTTGTAATCTATATACATTTAAATTTTTATATTGCAAGCCTTATCACACCTGCTTCTAAAGTACAAAATAAAAAATTAGAAATTATAATGTTTCTGCATATGTTTACATATAAAAAAAGAATAAAATTTATGACACATGTAAGAAATAAATATGTTTACAAAAATTTATTAACTTTTTTCTATCTTTGACTTCTCAGAATTTACGATTTCAACTCCATGGTCCAAAATCTTTTTTCCAAAATCGGGAAAATTAGTCTTGATCTTCCTGCGGAATCCTGTTTTAAAAAATGTTTTTAAAATTTTAATTTTCCGCGTATTTTTTAAACCAACAGTCATGGTGCATAAATATTCAATAGAACAATATCACAAAAAAATCTCGTGATGCTTATATAGTGTCATCTAGGAATCCTCATACGGAAACAAGTAGAAGAATACCGAACAACGCATTCGGTAAGAATATTTGTACTTATTTATCATGTGAGAAATGATATTTAAAATAAAAAATGCAATTTTAAATGAATATTTATTAAAAATATGTATCGAATATTATATGAATTGTATGCGGAATGCAGATTTGAAATTATTATGCGTCACTCGTGAATAAACTTTGCTCAGTACCGCCGAACACCTTATACAACATAGAGATATATAAACGAGAGAGGAAGAAAGAGAGAAAGTTTCCTAGAGACGACAAGACACATTGACAAGGCACGATCCCGTTACGCGCGTGATCTCCGAAAAGCGACCGGAGGGTGCAGCACCGAGCAGACCCGGAAAGCAGGAGATGCGCCGTGCAGAGAAACATGGCGTAAAGTGAGTGTGTTGCACATGTGTCAGTGATTTCGGGTAAGAGGTCAGTTCCTGAATCGGAGTCGGTTGTGAACCGTGAGTCGGCTCCGGCGGATTTGTCTTTGGGAGCGGCACGCCGAGTGGACTTGCGGATTCTTATCGTGGAAACACGCCGGGCGCACACACGAGTGAGAGAGACGCGCGATCGAGTCTGTCATCGCGGATATTTGTTCGTCGGACCGGCCACACTCAGCCATTTCGCCGACACCGCCGTGAGGCTCGCACAGCCGTGGGTAATGCCCGTTTAACGTCCGCGCGTCACTGACGTCGGCGACCATTTCACGCGCGCGACACAAACCCGTAGATTATTCCACGATCGCCGATAGAGCCGATCGAGCTGATCGGCACGCACGGCGATCGGAGAGTTCCGGCCTAATAAGCTTCTCCTGGCACGGCAGCGCATTCCGATCCTCTGAGTGTCGAACCGTCTCAAATTTAACGCTACTATGTTGTTAATTTCTCGTGATCAAATAGATATTTACATTTACATAACGCGCATAATGCGCACGTAATGCCTGGATGCAGTGCGGTGCAATTATGTAGAGCGAGAGATTTTCGATGAGGAAGACCTTTTCTATCGAGACATCGGCTTGTTCAAAACATTGTTTTTCTGTCGCTTGTCTGTGCCTTGAAATGTGACGTGTTACGCCAGAGCTCTTACAGCAATATAAACTTAAATGTTGAATACAAAATAATCTCAGTTTATAAAAACCATACATTGAAAAACTTTTCTTAATTGATTTTTAACTGTTGTATTATTATCTGCATTGCTGCATTATCATTTATCAAATACCACCGGACTTACCTTGATACAGACATACCACATAGAATCTATCATTATTTAACAGTTATATTTCAAAATTAAGTAAATATCACACAAATATACACATTGTGTTTTTACTAAATTAACTTATATTTGTTTAATGATATATTTGTGTAACAAATTCTTTGAATTAATTATAGTCTTAATACATTTTTAGGTCAGGTTAGTTAATTAGGATTACTCTTCCTAAAGTATATATTGATAATAGGCCAGTACAAATAAAAATATAGGTAAGTTTTAACAATAAAATATTTGTTTAATTTATGATTTTTTATAAAATATATTTTATACACATGAAATTCACATACATTTTATATTCTTATATAATTAGATATTTGTTTTCAAAAAGCTATTGATGTATAATGATAAATATAGATAAAAGTAATTTATATTTTATACAAATAAATAGAAGTAAATCTGCTTAATGTTTATATATAACAGCTAAACAGAAATTTGGAATCATATTTATTTATAATAATTTAGCTGATCTATAAATAGTATTGATTTATAAAGAAGTCGTCTCACAACTGTTTCACACTTTATTATATTTTGTCAGAGTTAAAAAAAGCAGGATTATAAAATAGGAAAGCAGAGTTGGAAAGGGAGTGGGATAGTGATCTCAGAAAAGAGAGCCATTTCACAAGCTTGGTTTAGACATTCTAAATATAACTGGAGGCTCTATAGGCTTTCCGTACTGTGTCATGCCACGCAGACCAGCATCCTGCTGTGTTGCGTAGAACTTGCTCATTTTCCGCCGTCAGTATGGCACAATGCCAATTTTTGTCTGCTAGAGAATATCTGATAAGCTTTTAATAATCACATTTCTGATATCTATATCTATTAATACAAGAAAAGTTGTTTTTTATTACATTACATTTTTTTATTTATGTCCTTGTTAAATTATTAATAATATGTATAAAGTTTAATAAAGTGAGACACAAATCAATACCTATAAAATATTTAAAAAAAAAACATCAAAGCAGATTATACTAATTAATTTTTCTTAAAAATTTGCTTTTACAAGAATAGATGCTCTTGATTCTTGTGATAAATATTTTATTCGATGAAATTTATGCATGCGGTATTTTGTTTACAGATCATGGTTTGCAGAGCCGGTGAAAAGATCCAAGTATGTGTGGTTCAATTTAATATGCCTTTCGAGGTTGATCGTAAACTATGTAGCGATAAATTTTCCTTATATGTATCAACACGCGTGAAAGATCTTTACAATCATATCGAAGAGCATTATCACATGCAACCGGATAGCTTTAGGTTACGTCTATGCACATCGTCATGCAAAATGGTTATTAATTACATTGTTCAAATATGTAATATTATGGAAGGTATATAATCGTAAATGCATGTTCTAATGTGATTCCACTTTGTGTCATTAGATTGATTTGTCTGACGTGAAAGACAAAACAATGGAGGAGATTGGAGTGGATTTCTCGGTTGATCCTAGCGTATCTGAAAAGAAGAATACTCTGTTTGTTGTTGATCCAACCCAACCGTTTATCGATGCGACACCACCGAAAAATGCGGAATACGGTTTGCCAACGTATAATCTAGCGAGTGCGACGCCGCATGCGTGGGGATTGGAAGAGGACATTGTTAGAGAAGATGTTAGAGATGGTAGAGAAGAAGTTAACTTCCGAAGTTTCATTAAAACTGAGACAAGTATGCAATGTACAATTTGAGAATTGCTCTCATATAGATTTGCATACATTAACAGAGCTCTCGCGTTAGGATTTAAAGTGTACGTGTGGATAACGTGTGGATAATGTTTTATAATTTCTTTAAGGCTACGTCGGCTTAGTCAACCAAGCGATGACTTGTTACTTGAACAGTCTTCTCCAAGCATTGTACATGACGCCGGAATTTCGGAATGCGTTGTACAATTGGGAATACGTAGACGGCTCCGAAAAGGATGAAGCTCTAAGCATACCATATCAATTGCAGAAACTATTTCTCAATTTGCAGGTATGGTGCATGTTCATGATATATTCATAGATGCGTTAAAAACTCACCATTTTATTTAGATGAAGTTTACATGTTTTTAATGTTGAAATAATCATGTTTTTCAGACATCTACGAAATCTGCGGTCGAAACTACATCATTAACTAAAAGCTTTGGATGGGATTCTACTGAAGCATGGCAACAGCATGACATTCAGGAACTTTGTAGAGTTATGTTTGATGCATTAGAACAGAAATTCAAAAATACAGAACAGTCTGACCTAATCAACAGGCTTTATGAAGGTACAAATTGTCAGTGTATGTGAGTCAAGACAATTTTTGTAATTTATTTTCTATGTTGCTAGGAAAGATGATTGATTACGTCAAATGCCTTGAGTGTGGAACAGAAAAATCAAGGGAAGATACGTTTCTCGACATCCCATTACCAGTTAGACCATTCGGCAGCCATGTCGCGTATAACAGTGTGGTAAGATATCATTACCTGGAATTTGAAATATCACTTGTATTTTTCTACACGTGTCAAGGAAAATATTTTTCTTCGCAGGAAGAAGCAATTAGAGCGTTCGTTCAGTATGAAACATTGGAGGGAGCTAATCAGTATCATTGTGAGAAGTGCAACAAAAAGTGTGATGCTCATAAAGGATTAAAATTCACAAAATTTCCATATCTGTTAACTCTACATCTCAAACGGTTCGACTTTGACTACAAGACCTTTCATCGAATCAAGCTTAACGATAAGTACGTAAATTGTACGATATCGTATTTTTCATGAAAGTCATTCTACAATTAAAATTCTACCTTTTCATTTTGCATTATAGAGTCACGTTTCCGGATATATTAAATTTAAATTCCTTTATCTCGTCCACAACGAGTCAAGAATCTCCGGGTGGCGAGGAAGATATCGGTTTAGGTATTAAATGTGATGATAGCTCGACGACAGATAGCGGAACTTTAGATGACGATTGCGTGCCGTGTGATAACAGTCTGTCAAACAGCAATCATTCGGCGAATCACGACCAAGACGATGATGAAGGTATGATATTAAGATATATTTGTCGAAACAATTTTGAGAACCATTAGAGAACGTATATATTTATCTTCAGGTATTGATATGAGTAATGGACCGTCGACATCGAGCTGCACCATGCACAATCACGAGAATGAAAAGAACCGCGGCACTTACATGCTGGAAAAAGGCCCGTACATGTACGAACTATTTTCAATCATGATTCACAGCGGTAGTGCGAGCGGTGGTCATTATTATGCTTATATTAAAGATTTCCGGACGCAAGAATGGTTATGTTTTAACGACCAAAGTGTAACTCAGGTATGCGACGTTTGCAAAGGCTTTCATTTCGAGTATTTACTGTCCATACCAATGAATTTCTCACTTTGATTTCAGATAACTCACGATGACATCCAAAAACGTACGGCGGTGGACCGTCGAGGGCATATTATAGCGGTGCCTATAGTAGCAGCACGAATGCGTATATGCTCATGTATAGGCAAATTGATCGCGCTCGTAATACTTTACCAATGCAGGCTCAAGATTTTCCACGACACATTCAGGTATGATTCGATCCTCCATAAATTTTTTGTCAATAAGTTTATTTAAAAAAAGAAAAATGTCAATTCTTTTCTCAAGATACTCTATTCAAGGGCATTTGTCATCTTATTTATAGACGCTGCTGAAGAAAATGAAGGAAAGTGAAGAAAACGATAGAAAAAATCGTGAGAAACAAATGTCTGTACCTAGATTAAAGGTATACTGTCATCATCCGGTGGAGGGAAAGTTGATGAACATCAAGTTATATGTTATGCCTGACATTACGTGGTTCGAAGCAACGGAGAAAGCATATAGGAAATTCAATCTGGAAAATGTAGTGAGTCTAGATCAGTGTCGTTTAGTTAGTTACGAGCATAATACGGATTTAATAGAATGCAGTTACGATGATCGAGAGCACGAAGCCGTTGGGAATATATGGCGTATTTCACGTCGCTTCGATTTTTTGTTAGAAATTCGGCGGAAAGATCAGAAGTTCGAGACGTATTTGCCAGGCGGTGAGCAGACAATTTGATGGATGCGTATTAATCAACATGCGGTGAAAATCTGACGTGATCTAAACATCGTAATTATTATTGCAGGAGTCGCAACCAAGGTGTTTGTCATAGACGTGACCAGAGAGGAGGTAATTGACGGTCCGATCGATATCCGGGGTTCATTGTCGCAAAGTGTTAAAGAGTATAAACAAACCGTAGGAAAAATTATTAATATGGATCCTAAGCAAATGAAAGTAATATTACTAAAGTTTCCGGAGACTAGACCCGTGGAAAACGAAGACAGCGATCTTCAGACTGAAGGATTTTATAATGCAAACAAAGTATTTATATCAACGATGTACGACATAGATAATAACAAGTCTTTTCAAGAGTCAACAGTGCACAGAATCATAGAGAATTTTAGACATGTTATTTCGCTGCATGTCCAATTGCCAGACACCAGCAAAGGTAATTTATAATCTTTTAAGGATTAGCAAAGTTTTTTTTGTCTTTTATATAAAAATTCCAATATGTAACTGTTTGCAGAAATGTTGGAAGAATTGAATATCCCGTTGCTGGATGAGAAATATGAGGAAAAGGAATCATTACCAATCAGTAATGGTTCGTCTAAACTAGGCGTTAATGAGTCACATTGGGACGTCAATCTGAAGTACAATGAAACCCTGAAAGGTGCGCGAAATAGCGACGACACCACCATACGAAACATAAGTCCTCAGTTGGGAGAACTCCTCAACGAGGAATGGAATACTCCCGAACAAAGTAATAGCGAAGACAGTAGTCTTAGCGATAGTGATAAAACGTTGGTCGGCGATGCGCCGGAAGGCGTCTTCGTTCAATCGCATTCGTTGAGTCGGAAATACAGGATGTCGAATCAGTTTGAAATAGAAAACTGGGACGACGACGACTCCGATTATTACTTCAGAGCTACGCCATATATAGATAGCACTCAACAAAAACGTATGTTACTACGCTCAATCTCGCCCCAGTGTCGATGGCGGTGTATTAATTTGTTTCTTTTTTTCTTGTTGCAGTACTTAAAGTATTAGTAGATAAGAGAATGAGATTAAGCACTTTGAAGAAGGATTTAGAGCCGCTTGTGGGAGTACCTGTGGAATACTTCAAAGTTTTTCGCCTGTCGAATTCCGGCGAGTCGGAGTGCAGCTGTTTGACGGAGCAGCTTAACGCGTACGAAGACGGTGAAAGACTTAATGTGAAACTCGGACGAGCCTTGCGTAACGGAGAGTTCAAAGTGAAGTTATATCAACTATTAATCGATTCCACTGAGGTTTGTATTGTCTTTTTATATTTCGCATACATAGGAAGTTTCATATGCTATATACGTTATATATACGTTATAGTGTTATCAAGATTTTTTATTATGGATTAAAATTTTATTAGCCTTACAAATTTTTGTGCGAATGGATTGTCTCGAAAGATATGGCAGTCGGACATGCAAAGAAAGAGATACTGGCAGAAATAAAGAAAAAGTATGATATAGATATACCGTATGAAAAGTGCCGACTTAGGAAAAAGTATTATAAAACAGCCTCAAAAGTATTCCTAAACGAACAAAAGTTCGAAGATCTGCGATTTCATTCGCAATTCGAAATGATCGTTCAAGAACTTCCGGATAAAGAGACAGTCATAGACACCAATCAGATAGTATTGTTTGTCAGAAGGTGGTTACCAGCGAAATTGCAACTAGCACAATTCCAAGAAATTGTCATGGATAATAGAACCGTCGAAGAACTAAAGAAAAAAGTGAGTAGCTACAAGATTAATTTTTTTATTCGTAAGGAGATAAAAGCGGAAGAAATATAAAGAAATGATTGTTGCTCTTCTTTTTCCAGCTTTCCTCAATATCAGATATTCCAGAAGAATATATAGATATAGCGAAAGGAAAAGGTAGTTTCCCATGTGACAGTTCTGTGCTACGAATCCAAACCGATCTTGATTGGAACGAACATCATGATAGTTTATCTTTCAATTTCGAAGATGGTGCCGTCTTTTTCTATAGGTACATTATCATTATATTTTCCGACACTATTAAATTCTGATTCTTGCTAAACTTTCGGATCTTTTTGTTTTCAGAGATAATAGGGAAAAACCAAAACAATTAAACGCTGACGAGGTAATGGAAATCGCTTTTAAGGAAAATTCACGCTTAACGCCGCTTTCTACTACTTCGAGTTATAGTCCACGTCGAGAGAGAGCACTTAAAATTTATTTGGATACCGAATGATCGTCCAGAGGGAGAGAGCACGCGTCTCTTACAAATCAGTTGCTAAACAAGCAGGTGTACGAACACAAAACATTTGTACATAAAATGTTTGCGTGTTGGATGTTTGTGAAATCAAAATTCCATCAAATATCAAGTGTTTTGTGTTCCAGTGAATCTTCGATACTTCACAGTTTGAGCGTTCCTACAGGTTTTCGGCTTTTTTTCGAAACTATTGGATTTTGGAAACTGTTTGGAATCATGAACTATTATATAGTAACGCATAATTCGGGATCCTAGTTGTCATACCTGATTTCGAGATTTTTAGAACTTACATGATGTGTAAAATATCCAATATGTATATATCACCTGGTCAGTTGAATCAGTTTTCCATCTATAGAATTCAACTAAGCAACACGATTAATTATTTAAAAGGAAAAAAGTAATGTCGATGTGATGATGAAAAACTTTTTTGATATACAGATAAAAATTTGTGTGGATTATCAGTTTCTCAATTTTTTGCATAACAATGTAACTTGTGTTTCTCTTACATAATTTTTTTCGTGAGTCTGCACTGCTTTTTTATATCATAGAGAAAACTTTTTATATTTCTATATACCTGTTAAAATATTAGACACTGTTCTTTGTGTGTGTTATATGCATTCGATAAACTGTAAGAACAGCACTATAAAAGAGAGAATTGCCGACACTACTTTCGTTATCATTTATCTGGCACAAGAACAATTAATTCGCCTTCTTCTGATGTATTACATATACGATTTATAAATTTATTATTGATGTTTTACTAGATTTTACTACAATTTTTGAATGTTATTATGTATATTATAGCATTAATCTGGCGATGTGTGGTAGCATATGTCAAATCATTGGATGTGATCAATTTTCTAACAATAGATATATTTTTCATTATTTTTTGATCAATTATTTAACAAATATCTACTTTTAATCTGCAAAAATTCGAAAAGAACACAAATCCTTAAAAAATTCTGAAAAAAAACAGATTATATTTACAGGTTATCAATGAGTTTATCAATGAGAATTAATATTCATTTATAAAATCAGAAAACATTAATGTTAGATTAATTTACTTACTATTGGTTCTTTTATGATATACATATATACATATCACATCACAATGTACTTTTGCAATAACAATTGCGAATATCGCGAATATTCTCTCGTGATTTCAAAAAATTATGTGCAAAAGTATTTTTTCAATTTAAAACATGTGAAATGTTTTGCTTTATCTGCCAATGTTTGTCTGCTTAAAATCTGCTTTCATATGACATTCTGTTGACGTTCTTTTCCTTCGTAAAGATGAAAGATTGATAAACTGGACCAAGTGGTAACTTAATAGTGTCTATTTGTTACATCATTATTTATTTTGTTACCCCCTATTAACATTTTATTTATCATCCGAAGTTAGGCTTTAAACGTTGTTTGATCATTGTTTTTATAATCACTGAACGAAGAAAAAGTATCAGTACGATACTATCTTTTAACAAAATAGATTACATTGAAGGCAGTGAAACCACATCTGTTCCCTTTTGTGGTTAAACTAATTGTAAGATTGCGGAATGTACGTCTCTCTTGACACAAATACGGATTGTAATTTGAAACTCTCCAATCATTGGCATTGGAAGATTATTCTCTGTATAATACACTGAAGTTATGAAGCAAATTATATTTATAATTATCAACAATGAAATATTGAAATGTCTGTCTTTTTTCTTATTTAGATATATGCATGATTATCTGCTTTATTTTTCATCCTTATCCAGTTCATACTCACGATTATGAATCATATATAAAATATGTATAAGGAATTCTGGAGAGAAGAGGAAAAGAAGAAGAGAGAGATGAAGCATATAAAAGATTATATATACATATATATTATTTTCATACAAATACAATAAATTTGTATTTTATCAATAATACTTATAAGCTACGAAGACCTTAACAAGGAATTCTATATCTTACAAACTTAAAGCTGTTATGGTAAGTGTGCGATTACGTTAATGCAATACATAAAATAACAATAATTTTATATATTTAATTGAAACTCTACATCTCTTGATGAAAAGATTTATGCTAGATTAATTTATCATGCAAGATTAATTTTTGAAAAATAACGTAAATGTTTATTGAATATATATTTTGTATCTTTCTTGTACGTTGTGTTTACATACCTTAAAATTTCTTATCATGTGTCATATTGTGTAACAGAATGGGACAAAGGTTAGATGTTATTGGAATCAGTTGAGACTGAGACGTATGCCATTTTTAAGGTAGCAAACGTGGCTTTGTTACTTTCAGTTACTTTTGACTCATAAACCACAATAAACGC